TTCTCTCAGGGCGAAAGTGAGCACAAATTCAGAAAAGAAAGTTTTAATTCTGTTTCTGACATGAACTTTGTGCCAGATTTCAAATCTGGAGGTCAGCTGTGTTTGTAGGTCCAAAGATTAGATGCAAGAAACCAAGCATTTAGATACTCACAGATTTGTTACTACACACTGTTTATTTAATTATGACACAGAGATTTTCTGGCAGAACATTAATATGGATACCATAGCATGAACCTGTATGAGCAGTTATGAATGGATGATTACTTCTTGAATTTTGTAAAGTAATACCTCTCCAGTAGCTTTTTGTTTGTTTCTTATTGTTTTTCAAAAGAAAAAGTCACATTTGATTGGATAGGAAACCAAATCTCTCCATTATCCAGTTAGGACTCTTCAGCATTTCTGACAAGTGCCTAGGTTAACACATTTTAGACATCACAGGCATATTTTGTCTTGTGGGGAATGCTGACTCAGGATAAGGCAAAACTCACAGGGCACTGAACTAATTGTGCAATGCCTTATGTGGAAAAATTACTTCCTGATCCCTGCAGTAGTTGCCAGTGGTTTGAAACATGGTGTTTTAATATCTGCATTATGTACTTGCCTGCCAGAAAATAATGTCAAGCTTCTAAATATAATTTGTAATATCCACATTTATATATATATACATACATTGTGAACTCCTGTTCTGAGAGATGCTAAGTAGTGTCTGTGTAGCTGAAAGACTGTGCAGTGAATTTCTAACACATTGAGCTGTTTGAGCTATTGAGAAGTAAGCTATAAACAGATATTGAAAAACGTCTGTAAGTCCACAGTTTTGGGAATATTTATTCAGATTTATTAACCTGAGGCTTTATAAGCAGTGTAGATTATTAACAGCATATTTGATTGACTCAAAATAGATGAGGTTAATATCAAGTTTACCCTAGAGTGTTTTGACATAATCCCAGGAAAATGATTTTTTATGGAAAATGTGTTGATGAAAACTAACCACAACATTAATTTTCATAGACTAGGCTGAATGGTCAATTCTACATCAAAAGTGCATTTGTGTTTGGGAGCCAAAGATGTGTCCCCTGGTGGGAATATCTTGGAGTCTTGCAGGCAGGTAAACTCAGCCCTCCCTCTGCAGAAACTTAGAAGGGGTCTGGCAGAGACCCAAACACCCTTGGACACATCCATCCATCCCATAAGGTTCAACACATCCAGGTTTCTAAAAGCAGTGCAGTTTATACCACTAGAGGCCAGAGGGGACCTCTGGAGTGGTTTGATTATAATCCTGATTTTTATGCCTCTCCAAGGCCACCTATACTTTTGGCTAGCTGGCAGATTAATAATGCAGTTGAACAAGTGCCAGTTTAATTTCTGCACAGATGTCACGTTTTTGAAGGGGAGCAAATGCACAGGTACAGGGAATGAAGGGTACAAGTATACCACAGAATGGATCTCTATCTGTTCCAGGACATTAACCAAGGTAATCTTCAGAAGTGTACTTGAAAGTCCTGTTTGTTTAGGTTAACACCAAAACTTCGTTTTGCCAAGTGCTTACAGCCAAGGGACAAAGAGTTCCTGGAGTGTGCCATCCTGTGTGCGGTGGCATGTCAGGGTTTGCCCATATATAGAAGGCTCACGGCATTGCAGAGTGTTTATTCACTTAGGTAGAAGATGTCAGAATAGAACCAAATGGGAAGATTTTCTGCGCTGCCTTGCATAACAAGGTTAAGAAAAAGCAGTGACAATTTAAATAAATCAGATGTTTTTGCTGAAGATTATACTGTCATTTTCTCCAATTATTCTTGACATTTCACCCATTCATATTGTGATCTGAGTTAATAACGGAAGAAAACCCAGCTCTTGTTGCCTTGTTTATTCTTTGTTCTCAAGGAGATAAGCTGTTTATAAAGATAACTTATTTGTTATTTAAATCACTTTTACTGAAGTTGTTTGTTTCCTTGTTTGAGTTTCTAAATATATTGCAACAATTGTGATGCATCTCTGAGATGTCTATTCAATGCACTATGATTTGTACTGGAATTCATTCCTAAATGGGCACAGGTGTTGATAGCTATAATATGCTAGAATGAGTCAAAACCAATAAATGCCCACTAAAGGAAGGATGAAAGAAAATGCACTGAAAACAGCTCTTTAAAGATGTGATTAAAAAGCACTTTAGTTCACTACTTAATTAGGTATATTGCGCTGAAGATGTGTCTGCAGCAACTACGTATTTTAAAACAGCTGAACGTATTAGTGCATAACTTCAATCACTGTTAATATTTTAAAGATCATAAACATTATTTTTAGAATTAGCAATACTATTCAGGATATAATCAACTTTTGTTTGCAAGCTATTCTAATAGTGCCTTAAAGCACCATTTTCCAATACATTTGTAAAAAAAAAAAAAAGTAAATTGGTAGCCTAGGAAAATTGCTTGCTTGCCTTCTCACGTTGCACAGAAATTTATTGCTAGAATAAGACATAGGAATTGTGATGTTTCAAAACTAAAAGTCAGTTTAAGTGTTTCCTTTGTGCTTCTTTCAGGAGCAGACATTTTATCTATTCTTTGCACAATGAACCCTGCAGGCAACATCTCCTGAAGCCCCATCCTGACCTTTGGGTGCATTTCTGGCATAAACTTATACTGATAGACATAAACTGATACGGCTAATGTGCAGATAGGCTGTAACTCTGGACAGGAATATTGTCCTTAATATTTTACAAATATTTGTTGTTAGTATTTTATGGTGCATCTTTTTAAAGATAAAAACAAATAGCACAAGCTAGGAAGGATAAACAAATGCAAATTCAGTTGTCACTCCTCAGTGACAGCCAAGCTGGCCTGAAAGCTGCGGCACCCAATACAGGCACAGTGCAGCATGATACAAATTATGGAAACACAGAATAGTTAGGATTGGAAGGGACCTCTGGAGATTATATAGTCCAAGGTAGGGTCGCCTAGAGCAGGTTACACAAGAATGTGTCCAGGTGGGTTTTGAATGCCTCCAGAGAGGGAGACTCCATGACTTCCCTGGGCAGCCTGTTCCAGTGCTCTGCTGTCCTCAATGTAAAGAACTTCTTCCTCACGTTGAGATGGACAAGGAAGTTGTTTTAAAACTGGATTGCACGGGTAGGGCAGTAAGGTGCTATGTGCAGCTCCAGGTGGGTCTGGAAGTTGCAGTTTCTGCTGAGTGGCCAGAGCAGCACAGGGAACATAGCCCTTGGGCAGGCAGGTAGGTGAGCTCTCCAAGGGCTGTGGTGCAGCTTGGAAGGTGAAGATAAGGGGAAGGAGCCAGGGACTGGCAAGGGACAGCAGGGTTCTGATCAACAGCCAGGTAAACATGAGCCAG